TTGATGATGGTGATGATGATGTCGAGTATGATGGTACAACAACCTCCCGTTGCCTAGCAACGCGACCTTGAAGCGCTCGCTCTAGGACCCATATATTCAAGAGACGGTCCTTGTCCTATAACATCTGGCAGTTCACCAGCATTGATTCAAATAAAACTGACTGCTGATGAGACACTTTGTCAAAAACGGTCAATGCTGCTGAAATTATTCACTCCCAGAAGGCTGTGGTGCCGATGGGTTGTGTAAATATTTTTTTTTATGTATAGGGACAGATGTGATGAAGGAGATATGGTCTGATTATCTATTCTGGACTGTTACGAGCATGCGCAGTCATCGTGTGACTGGGCATGACTGGCAGTCACTGATGAATATTGACCGCGAAGAAAAGCCAGTGGGATTGGCCAAGACACATCGCTCGGTGGGCAGATGGACGAGACTGGTGACAGAATGACAGCCAATGGACGGAATCCAAGAGAGGCCAACCACTGTTAAAATGGAGTGATGAGATCCAATCATGTGCAGGAGTAAGAAGGATCGTGGTATCACGGGATTGTGAGGGATGACAGCAACGTCTGAAGTTCGTCATCCATCAGTGGATAGACCGTGGCTGAAAATGTATCCATTGTTGTACTCTACTATTTACACACCTATTTGCTCCCTACCTTCGCAAAGCATTACTGACCATTGTGGTAAAATGTGTTGAAATAACCAAGACGACACGCACGGAGTGGTGAATATTTAAACCAGCTGTGAATAGACTATAAAGGTTGAACATATATCCAGGGTGTCTTTAGGGTGTATGGAATTCGTGGTTTATGTGTACTACACAGCCGGTTCCAAACGCAGGGAAACCAGGGACCCAGACCAGACCAGGACTCAACTAGTCTCAAACTCAGACCTGGAATCCGTCCAGCACAAACCGAGGACCCAACCACACCAGAACTGGAGATTAAACGAGGCCAGATCTGAACACAAACCAGACCATCAATTGCCATCTCAGACCCGACCCAACTGCATTGTAAGTGCTGCTTATGTCTCCACATACGTTAACTACAGCAGCAGCGTGGGAGTGAAGCAGTGTGTACGACTGTTCACGTACACAGGTGTCCATGTGTATGTGGAGGTGTGATGTGACACAAGGTATCTACTACATGGGATGAGACGAGGATATCAAGGATCAACTTGCACGTCACAGATCCCTTGTCTCGTCAAATGTATCTGCCCTGACACGTACTTGCCATCTCAAAAAGAACCCTTGCCTCATCCTATATTGAAGCCTTGCATCATCTGATACAAAACACTTGTCTTTTCCAATACTATTAAACTTTTTTTTTTATTTAACCAGGTAGGGGCCCACTGAGCTATACACCTCTTTTTCAGAAGCGACCTGGCCACAAATGATAGCTCAACGAAGTAGCGTATCACGTGGACATTTATAGCAGCTAAATACTCTAAACGCATGTTTATAAATGAGAAAAATCCACGCAACCACCAGGATAACATGCAAACTCCAAATTTGCAGGCATCAGGGTCGGGATCGAACCCACGATCTCCTGCATACCAGGCGAGGTAGTTATCATCTCGCCACCATTGTATCATATTATCTTATTTAATACAGAACCCTCGGCTTACTTGACACACTATCCTTGTCATCACAAACATTGTGTCCACCACATGTGTATACATATATTCAATTATCTGTGACATTGATTTGCTCGTAGAATGTTTATATTGAACCCAACGTTGCACTCTTCCCACCTAGGTTTTTGAGTAAATTCCTGTAGCTCGTTTGGCATGACATCAGCCAATCTGAGATGGGGAGGGGGGTAATATACTTTCCATTCTATATTTATAACTTTTTTTTATCCCCTTCCAATGTTTCTAAGAAATCTACTATCAAGCTGAATATCTTGCCGAAAACTTGTCTTCTTTGTCTGCTGCTTATTTTAAATGTATTTTCTTAATTTCTTCATACAATTCCAGCGAAGCATTTCCATTTATGTAAATGTTTTTAAGTTGCATGTCTAAATTTTATTCCGTTTACTCCTCGGGTTTGTGAGAGCTTGGAAGACTTGCACCATTTCCACTGTGACAAATGCCCTTTTTAAAGTCTTACAATAGCCAGGCACTATGGTATTTGATTTTCATCTTTTTGTATTTTTTCTTCCAGAATCTGATTGATAGTATGCATTGTTATTCATGATATAGAAACCTTTCGTACGCCTGTCTTGCTCATGTTGTAGCTTGGTCTCAAAAATTGTATTTCTTCATTTCCCCAGTGATCTTTGTGAGCAATATTTGCACGTGTTAATGAGTCCGATGGAAATGTAAAAACATAAGTGGGAGTTTATCGTCCTTTTTTAATATAAGAATAATTTATCCATCCATGAGTCAGATATTTCATTACTGTGTAAACATTTAACAAATATGTCTGATAATTTATGATGTACTTCTTTGGTGTCCATGTTGTCCACAGTTGAATAATTTAAGGCCGGGATTTTTTCCCTCTGTTGGTTATTGAAGGGCAGAGTTCACTTCTTCAAATATAACATCTGAAACTTCCTCCCCTTCATCCGAAAAAACAGCTCGATTCCCATTCGATAATTTTGATAAAGAGATATGCATACAATCATTCCACAGACTTTAAGATGCTATCGTGTGTTATGATTCCATCTTTCTCCCCAATGGCTTTCATTTTGTCAATTGCCAACCATCAACCTCTTTTTTGCTCTTATCGTGCTACCATTGTTTGCAATGTCTTCTGTGTGTTCATTGTTTGGTGCTGCTATTATCAGTTTCTTGGTATATCTCTCCTTCTTCCACGGAGTGTCTATTGTGGTTTTCAGACTGCTCCTTCCCTGAATATTATCATTGGCCCTCACTTTGAATGCAAAGCTAATTACAAGCAAACAAACAAGACAGTTAACGTCAAAAATCTAGGTCAGCAGGGAGTAGATTTTAGGCAAAATCTAAACAACAGATTCAAATGCCCAAAGGAGCAAGATTATAAAATGGATGTCACCACCTTATTATATACTGCATGCATTGACTAGCATAGTAATATAGAGTAGATATGTGTGTGTTTAATCGTGTATATGTGGCACTGTGGTTCGGGAAACAGCGAGTATAACCGGCGTACTGCGTTCAATTCCCAGCCGCTGCTGACCTAAGTGGGCAAGTGATATCTAAACCGGACCCTCGACATCCCGTCGGTCGACTCAGCCTTAAATTAGTATCAGGAGCAATGTGTACACATTAGCACTGGGGAGACTAAGGCAGCCAGGTGTTGTGCTAGCTAGCCACACCAACATTTCGTGCGCCATCACAGCGTTGGGTAAGTGCTTGCTCACAGGACTTGCCTAACCAATATGTTAACGCTTTAGGGGAGGATCTTTGTCCTTGTGTGAATATGTATATGATTGTATGGGTAAATGCGTGTACTGTATATATATATTTCAGTATATGTGTATGTATGTGTACATGCCTTGAGTGAAGGCGCTCTATAAATATAAAGTGTGTATGAGTGTATATGCGTGTGAATGTCTGCGTGTGTCTATTTCTACGTGTGCGTGTGTTTACGAATTTGCCCGTGTGTATGGGTGTATGGGGAGCGGTGGCGCAGTGGTTAGCGCAATGCGCTACGAACCCGGCAACCCGAGTTCAATTCCCGTTCACGGCTAACAATCGGTGACGATTACCTGTACCGGTCCTGAGCATCCCCTATAGGTCGACTCAGCCGTAAAAGACTACCTAGTGCGTTGAGTAAACATCAGCACTGGGGAGACAAAGGCGGCCGGGCGTGGTGCTAGCCATCCAACTCCCACGTGTGCCGTGCCGGCCTTCATATGTGCTCGCAAATAGCTCTCCAGCAGTCTTGTTAAAGGCTATACGGGTGGTGGCATGGTGGGTGCTGAGAGGGCATCATCATCTGTGTAGGTCTGTGTGTCGCTCTCTTCCTGTGTGTGTGTGTGCACGCCTGCGTCTTCTCGTCTGCATTCTGCGCACGTTCCGTGCCGCTCGTCGCATTGTGAGGTTTTTTTTCCTCTTCATCAATTTTTAATTCATCCCCTTCTTATTGCAGACCCTCTTTATATTCATTTCCTGTCGCTCCACGCCGCTCCATCCCCGCAATGCATACAACCGTGCACACGCTCTAAAAAAAATCACAATTCACGCTCGTTACATGCAAATATTCTGTGGGCCCGAACGCGAACGAAAACCCAACCCAGCCTGGACCAGACCCAGGACCGCAAAACGATCTCGAACCAGACTCAGAGGATCTTAACCCCCTATTTACAATCTGCGGTTCCCCAGATAATTAAACCCCCAACACAGACCATACCAGACCGGGAACGCAAGCCGAACCAGACCCAGACTCAAAACCGTGTCCATGACCCGGCCTAGAACTTAAAGCCACTAGGGGGCCCCGAGCCGAACCCCTAACCAATAACGCATCATACAGTGATGATCAGGGGTTCCCAGATCTTTAAACCCAACGCAGATCAGACTGAGAACGCAACCCGGACTCTAAGCAGACCACGACTCAGAACCTTATCCCAGATCCTGCCAGTTACTCAAACCCAGACACACACTCGAACCCCGAAACCTACCGATGATTCTAACCCTGCATGATATCATTTCCAGATCCTTAAACTCAATCAAACCGAGAACTATGATCTGCCCACAATTCAACACAACCTCGAGTCATACAACGGTCCCCATACAGAAGTTTGAATCAGGAATCTTCTTACATTTACCCTCACCCTGACTGAAATCCTAACCCCTTCCTAGACCCGAACCTGTGCTCTTAAACCAGGCAGAGGTCGCTCAACCAGGACTCGAACTCAAACCCCAACATTAACCAGGGATCAGAACCCCGGACAAGAAAATCTCCAAAGGCTAATTCGGATCCGATCCCATTCACCAAAACGCATAATCCGGATTCTGAAAGCCATCACAGGAACCGCGCATCCGGACTCGATCCTTCACCACGAACTCACCGATATGGACATAGGATGGAAAAGCGCTGCCGGTCGCCCTGGCCATCACCAGCATCATCACCAACATCACCTTCAACCACAGCGCCGTCGTCACCTTCGCCATCACCGCTGGCCGTCTTCCCATCACCATCGTCATCTCCCTCCTCATCAGCCCCGTGCCCATCCTCACCGGTGCCATCACCCCCTCCCTCCTCCTCATCACCATCCCCATCATCATCCTCATCGTTTCCATCATCATCATCCTCATCACCATCGTCTTGGTCGTTGTCATGGACTCTGAGACATCGGCGTCCCCCACCACCACCACCTCCTCCTCCTCCTGAATCACGGCTCCTCCCGTCTCCACAACGACAATGTAGCAATGAGAGAGGAGAGAGAGAGGCAACACAAAAATGTGAAAATAACAAAAAAAACCCACACCGAGAGGGGGGAACACCGCCAAATATTAACCAACCGCCTCGCTCGACGCTTTAGGTTGCAACATTTATGTTGAATGGAATACGAGGGGTCTATATAAATGTCTATTATTTAATTTTTGCGCAGACGGGAGAGGGGGTTTAGGGGGGGGGGGAATCTTCGCTTCAGCTCGCGCGCCCGGGCGCACGGAGCAAGGGGTCCATGGCTGCTGCTGCTTCCTCGCGAGAGAGAGAGGGGAGACGGTGGTGAGAGGGGTGGGGGGCGATTGGTGGGGGGCAGTGGGGGAGTGGTGGGGGGGGGGAGAGTGGTGGGGGGGAGTGGTGGTGGGGGGGGAGAGTGGTGGGGGGGACGTGGGGGAGTGGGGGGGGGAGTGGTGGGGGGGGGGAGTGGTGGGGGGCGAGTGGTGGGGGGCAGTGGGGGAGTGGTGGGGGGGGGGGAGAGTGGTGGGGGGGAGTGGTGGTGGGGGGGGAGAGTGGTGGGGGGGACGTGGGGGAGTGGGGGGGGGAGTGGTGGTGGGGGGAGTGGTGGGGGGCGAGTGGTGGGGGGCAGTGGGGGAGTGGTCGGGGGGGGGTGGTGGGGGGGAGGAGAGTGGTGGTGGGGGGTGTGGGGGAGTGGTGGGGGAGCGTGGGGGAGTGGTGGGGGGAGTGGTGAGAGTGGTGGGGGGGGGGGAGAGTGGTGGGGGGGAAAGTGGGGGAGAGTGGTGGGGGGGAGTGGTGAGAGTGGGGGAGTGGTGGGGAGAGAGTGGGGGAGTGGTGGGGGTGGGGAGTGGTGAGAGTGGTGGGGGGGGAGTGGTGAGAGCGGTGAGGGGGGAGTGGTGAGAGTGGTCGGGGTGGAGAGTGGGGGAGTGATGAGAGTGGTGGGCGGAGGAGAAAGTGGGGGAGTGTGGGGGAGTGGTGAAAGTCGTGGGGGGGATAGTGGAGAGGGAGTGGTGAGAGTGGGGGGGAGAGTGGGGGAGTGGTGAGGTGGACGGAGTGGTGAGAGTGGGGGGGAGAGTGGGGGAGTGGTGAGAGTGGTGGGTGGGTGATGAGAGTGGTGGGTGGGGGGCGTGGTAAGGGGATGATTGGTGAGCCGAGATTGAGATTCGGTGATGAGAGATGAAGATTTTGTAAGGCAATATTGGGATGTTATGATTCGGTTTATGATTGTTTCGACGAAAAATATCGGTTCATGAGAAGTAAGACGAGATGTTTTTGTATGATTAGTGAAAAGAGATTTAGATTGGTGAGGCGAGATTGAGATTGTACTCATTAAGATCATGGTTGTTGAGGCGAAAATGCCATTGGTGATGTGATATTCATAATTGTGAGGTGACATTGAGACTGGTGAGGTGAGACTTGGAATGGTGAGGCGACATTTAGATTTAATAATTAAGATTATGATTGGTGAGACGAGATTTTAGATTGGTGATGAAATTGAGATTTGTCAGGCGTAATTGAGATTTGTAAGGTGAGGTTGAGATTTACTGATTAGGTTTATGATTATCGGGATGATATTGAGATTATATGATTATATTTATGATTAGTGAAATAATATTTTTTGATTACTAAAGCCAGATTTAGAATTGTGAGACGAGGTTGAGATGCATGAATTAAGATTAATTGTTGATGTGAGATTGACATTTGTGATGAGAGTTACAGATTTGTGAGTGCATTTTTAGATGTATTAAAATTATTATTGATGTGTTTTGAGCTGGGAATGTGTGAGGGAAGATCTATATGAGTGAGAGACTTGGATTGCACTAAATTGAGATTAACAAATCACGTTTATGATTTGTGAAGCAATACTTAGATTGATTTATGAAGCGAGATTGGCACTGTTGGAGTTAGAATTTAATTGGAGATGTGAGGATGTGAAAGGGACCAGAGCACTGAGCTTGCACTGCTCACCAGTGACTGCAAAGAAAAATAATTGTATTATTTTTTTCCCTTAGTATGGATACATTCCAACTCGGAGCCTTACACGTTTTAGTTTGATTGACAGCAAAGAAAAACTAGTAGCAGCGCAGATAAAAGTCGTTCCCCTAGTGTGGAAAAATAATTCAATGAAATATCTTGTAGTTGTGTGCCGTCAGCCTCCAGTGTTGTTCTATGATGACACAGGGTGGTGCACTGCTGACTGCTGACTTCCAAGTGGAAACGCATTCGTATAAATGACTTAACGATTCTAACATATTTAAAATATATGGAGGTGGGGGGGGTTATTTATTTTTTATTTTAAACATTAGTGAGGCGAGAATAAATTTGATAGGACGAGATTGAGATTTTAGACCATCTTGCAATAGGTGAAGTCATGTTGAGATAGGTTGAGGCTTAGGTGATTTGGTTAGGTGATTTTTATATTGTTGAAAGGGGAGCATTGTAATTGTCAAACAAGATTGCGATTAGTGAGGCTAGATTAAGATTTAAGATGGGAGAGATTGAGTTTGGTGAGGTGATACTCGGATTTAACAATTCAGGTTATGATTGGTGAGGTGTTGTGGAGCAAATCTACCAATAGCTGAGTAGGCCGAGGTTTTTTTTAAAGTGTGTGATCCGGAAATTTGAGATTTAGATTCGAGACTCGAGGTATAAATCAGTTCGTCAACATTTCTAATGGATTGCTGAAGTGAGATTCACGTTGCTCAAGAGGAGATTTGGAATGGATAATTGATAGTTATTTTATCGAACGGATATTTAAATCGTGTAAAGAACATTATGCACCACCATAGAGGAGTCGGCAGGGTAACACATAGAATCAATAAAGAGGCAAGAGTATCGTCTCCACATTCAAAATTAAAAAATAAACAGACTTTAGCTTCATCATCCCATGGGGTATTGTTTGCTTAAGCAGCAAATCTCGCACTGGTTTAGATTTCTGCGAGTCTCATCAGCAGGGTTGTGGCCACTTAATCAAGCGTTTATTATTGACTAGCGGATATATTTATTTGCTGATTATTGCTCAAGATTTAAATCTGCGCATCAAAATTTTTGATGTGTGATGCAAGAGTCATATTCTTTAACCATCGTTTGACATTCGACAATTAATCCAAATGTGCTCATCTTATTGATTAATACGATTTACGGACATTTAGACTTGAGCATTAGGGTTGTAATTTGTGGACTTGAAGGTTTAAAAGAATTGATATTGTGATTAGATTTAGACCCATGTATGTTTGAAAATCTGTTGTAGGTCCATAAATGAAGGTTGAAATGTCGATATGTTTGCTACGTTCGTTGTTATTCAGGCTTCGACGGAATAATTGTTTTGCAGAAAATTAATACAAAATAAATATTAAGCCTCATCGCCATATCTGTCCCTCCACATAAAATATGAACATCGTTTTTTTTACATCTCTTCAGCTATAACGGCCTCCTGGGGAGTGATCTTTAAAAAAAACAGCTTTGGTTTAATGCAGGCAAACTCTGGACCGGATTCATCAGCACAGCTCTCAGCTTGTTTGAACCAATTCTGATGAACCGTTAAACCACAACAATTTACCACGTATAATTTTTTTTTGCATTTCATATAAACGAGATGATCACTGTGAATTCACCATCCCTCCTCTCTTGACAACCAGCAATTTATTTATTTTCGTGGGAGGCAAACACAATCTCTGCAGACGTTATTTACATGATTTTCTCTCAAACATTAACCAATCGCGTTCAGCATTCACTTCAGGTCGGCCGTGTAAAAAGAGCTCTTATATAAGGTAATAAGGGGTGTGGTGATGGTGGTGATGCCACATTAATACGTGAATATCTTTAGGCATTTCCGCTAAAATTGTCTCATATTTTATGGAAACCCCGGCTCGCAGTTCACATATTTAACTTAAGTTGGGTCTCTCTGTGGTCGTGGGATGTTCATGTACAATATTTTTGTGTTCGTGCCGCGGGTGGGAGGGGACCGGCTTCTGAAATGGAGCCGCCGCGCGCCGCCATTTTATATCGCAGTTCACTTCGGCGCGTCCTCTGCTCCCATTGGACAGCGGGGCTCGCGCGCGGGGAGGGGCGGGGCCCCACGGGCAAAGCGGGGCGTGGTTTACGGCGGTGACGTCACAAGCGTTTCTTATCTCGTTTGTTTTGGAACTTCGGGTTCGATATACGGATTTTCGCTTTGCGGACAACTGTTTTTCAGAAAGGTGTCCGTCCCGTATATCGAGAGATGCACATATTGCTCAAGATTTTAATTCAGCTGGTGAGGCTCATTGAGCAACTCGACGCATTCGTCAATAACACTGTCGCTGGAAAAGGGAATAAAATGACGCTTCGTGCACTGGCCCTAAATAGCACATACAGATAATTGATATGTGAGAGTTGGGTTGTAAAATAAATACTTTAATATTTTTACGTAGAAATACAGATATATGGAATTGACATTATCTAATCATCTAGTTTATCAAGTTAGTGGCTAGGGTTCTTAAAAATCAAGTTTTTTGTATTACCGATAACATCACGACAAAAAGTGTTACAACCCAGTCTTTTATTTTTAGCAATCAACATAAAATGTTTACCTTTTTAACTCAGACATGAAGGGAGCTGCAGTGAGGTAATTGTTAGCACACTGGACTTGCAATCCAGAAGCTACTGGTTCGTTTTGATTTCCAGGCGTGGCAGTTGCAATCATTGGGCAAGTTTTTTACATCCACCAGCGTATCATGCAACGTCGCGTGTGATGGGCTACCCTGTGGGTACGATTATCTCTTCTAAAGCGTCTGGCAAGAGTGGGAGAGTAGACCAAGCTACCCTCTAGAGCTCTTTCTAGTAGAGGCTGTTCTGTCAGCAAGCAATGCAGGACTGTACCCTTACAATTTAAATTAGAAACGCGGGCAAATATACCATGCGGTGACTTAGGCCGCAATGCCGTTGTAACTTTACACGTGCTAATTAGTAAAAACAAAGCAGTGTATGCATGACAAAAATGTCACTGATTGGGATGCCATGGCAGTAATTATATTTCCATCAATAGAATTCGAGTATTTGGGATTTGTTTTATTAAATAAGGTACGAGTGGTGTAGTTCAGGGGTCGGCAACCTGCTGCTCAGGGGCCACATGCGGCTCTTTAAGGAGTGCTTCGTGACGTTATTCACATGAAAAACATTTATCTTCTTGTTGGTTTAGTTGCCGACCCCTGCTGTGACGGCGCTAGCCTCTGAAATGTGATGATTGTCTTCGGTGACTTGGACCGACGCGATTATGAAGTCATTCTAGTGTAATGGACATTTCTATTTGTGACATCA